CTAAATAATTATAATGAATATCAACGAAAGCTTAAAAAAAGGTACAAAATAGATACCATATAAAATACAAATTCTATGAAGATAATGTACATTTAATTAAATATATTTCAAATTCAACACCCAATTTAAAATTAAAAGATGAAAAATCACTTGGAAATGTTTAAACCAAAAAATCGTCCCTTAAGTTTATCGCGGTCTAGTCGATCCTTTAATTTTCAACCCACAAATATCAGTACAACTTTGAGGAACATCAGTTAAACCGCCACATACTCGTAAATTTCTCAGCAAAGGTTCAGCTAATTGACTACATTTAACGTGGAAAATATCCAAAACAAAAGTACTAACAAAAAGCGTTATAAACACCAACAGCAGCAACAGCAGTGGGCGCCAAATGGGGCGGGTGGCTACCGCCTGGCAATCGGAAGTCCAACGAGTCCATAAGTGAATAAACTGTGGCCAACATATTCCCCAGACAGAAGGGATAGGGACGAGGAAGAAGAACAGCGAGGAGCAGCTACTTCCGCTTGGAAAAATGTGCGCCAAAAAGCCCAAACCCAACTCAAAAACCCAGAGCACATCACAGAAAAACAAAACAAATTTTCCTTGACTTTGGGAAGCCGATAAATGCGATAAATATATCAGAAATATTGGTATATTTAAATCAATGTGCCAAATGCAAAATAAACAGAAATATTGGCAGGCTAGCCGCAGTGCGCGATAAGAAAGTGAGAAGTGAGTGGTTCGGGCCAAGAATGATGTCCCAAAACCCCCGAAACCAAAACTCCATTCCTCCTCCCAGCAGGCCATCAGACGGACAGCCAGACAGCCAGACAGACAGACAGTCGCGGAAAGGCGACGTTTTTCCACTTCCTATTGCACTCAGCGCAATTTTCTTTCCACTCTTTTGTGGCTGGTCGTGCTACTGATTTTCTGCTGCTGAAGTGTTAAGGATGGCGGTGGTGCAGTCCCCCTGCAATGGCATAGGGGTACGGGTGCTGTTTTATTTTTTGGCAGACATTGCGTGCTGGTTGTGCTGCGTTCCGCCTGCAAACGGCAGACAGTTGGAGTGTCTAACAGGCAGGACATTCACTTTCCGTTTCAAGTTCAAACAGTGTGGGGAAAGGACTCCTCCATGGTGAAGATATATAGTAGGACCTGTAAGACAGAAGTTGAATTCCAGCTGTGCCTCTTAGACATTAAAGATCGAAGCGAAAGCCAAGTATGACTCAAAGGAGAATTACCAAAGAGGATGCTAGATGAATCTTAGAAACAAAAGAAAAGCGAACGGAATCGGAGAAGATTTTAGAAAGAGAAGAAAGATATATCGAGTCAAGAGACAACAATATAACCCCTACCATATAGCCCCTAAAGACCATATCGTATCCTATGAGACTACAGTGAATTTCCTGCCACAAAGTTAGAAACAGGAAAACCATTTAGCGGCCACAAAGTTAAATGCGAATTTGCATTACCTGCCAGACAAACGTATGAAAAATATCCACATGCTCGGGCACACAGAGGTGTATTATGGTTAAAAGTCTCGCTTGTCCCTTTCTTTGGAATGTTTCAATATGCAAACATGCAATAACCAAATTGCAATAACAGCAGCAACCATAGGCAGCCAAACAATGGCGAAAGGTAACCCCTACCCTATGCCGAACCGAACCGAACCATACCCAACACCCATAGGTAGTGGTGGAGTGGTGTGTGCCCGGCATACCGAACCCAAACATAATCGCAAATTATAGGCTATATAGCATGGCATCGTCGTAGGCTTCCTTCCCCCCAATTGGATGCTAGTTTGTGCTGAAAAACGCCCACACCCGCACCGCAATCAGTGTAAGAGGTGATGGTGATGGCAGTGGTCGCGACGGGGGCAAATGTAAGGGTGGAGCCATAGCCAGAGCCAGTAGCCAGCTTTTTACAATTTTCTAGGTACTAGCAGCTCCCTCTGCTCTATTAGACTTTTGCATTTTTTCGGGTTATTATTTGGTCATAATTGTAATTTAGGTATTTGCTGTGTGTGAGGAAAAGAAGGACTCGACTCCACGCTCCGTGCTCCACTCCTCCTGACCGCAGCGTGGCCACAAAATCATGCTACTTGTTAGGCATGTGATGTGATTTCTATTTTTTTTGCCGCCTTTGTTAGGGGGGTGTCAGGTCTGAGGTCTGAGGTCTGGACTTCTGTGTGTGCGGTTGGGTCTCCCAGCGGTTAGAGGCTGACGGGCAAATGTCGAAGTCTTGGGCTTGTGGTCGGGGAGCGGAGCTTGACTGGAAATGATTGCGTTGAGTTGAATTCCATTTACCCTCCTCCCATCTGAGAAATTATCATTTTGAGCCTTGCAGGTTTTTGAACTGTTGTAAGAATAATTACTGAAAACTCTTAACATTTTTTTTTTGAATTCTTCTAGTGCATGAAACTGAAACCTTCCTGCACATAATTTTACATCTTAAGAACCAAAAGACTGGCGGGGAGGTCATCCCTAATAAACAGTTAATTTAACTAATTGTTGGATTATTTGCTGTTTGCCTTCGCTTAATGTTCGCTTGGTCAAATTTATGGCCGCTGGATAATTTTAGGAAATTTCTTTGACCACTTTGGCGGGGCATCTGGCAAGCGTTGACAACTTTCGCCTGAGGCCGTTGACATTCTGCAGACAGAGGCAGAAATGAGCGGGGAAAAGAAATTAAATAATTATATTTTTAAATGTGGATTAGAAATGGCCAACGATGGGAGGCGGCCGAACATTTCCGAAAAACAAATTATTGTAAATTCAATTATATTTTCTCGCCCGAGTTCCTTTAAATGGGTACAGCGGAAAGGCCAACATCTAGCATTTGCAAGCCTCATAAACCACCCCCCTATTAGCCATGGTGGACTGCTACCCCTGGCATATCCCACAGTTACGTTACGAGTATATCTGCCCCATTTAGTACTCTAATAAGCAGAGCCATAAATGTCAACCAACCTGCCTTTCTAGCGGATCCCAAGTTCAGTGGCCCCATCAACAATGTAACCAGTCCCGTGGGACGCGACGCAGTGCTCACTTGTGTGGTCCACGAGCTGGTTAGCTTCAAGGTGGCCTGGCTGCGGGTGGACACGCAGACCATTCTCAGCATACAAAACCATGTCATCACCAAGAATCATCGCATTGCCATCTCCCACACGGAGCATCGCATCTGGCAGCTGAAGATACGCGATGTCCAGGAATCAGATCGCGGATGGTTTGTACTATTCAATAAGGACAGGCCAAGAGCTGAAATATACCATATTCGCTGCAGGTACATGTGCCAAATCAACACAGATCCCATGAAGAGTCAAATGGGTTACCTGGATGTGGTGGTGCCACCCGATATCGTTGACTTTCAGACCAGCCAGGATGTGGTGCGTGCCACGGGACAGAACGTGACACTCACTTGCTATGCAACAGGCGTCCCCACGCCTACCATCACCTGGCGCCGCGAGGAGTCCACCCCACTCTGGCTAACAGACGAGGGCGATCGAGAAGTCTACAGCGTCGAAGGACAAAATCTCACGCTGTGGCAAGTGCAGAGGACTCACATGGGTGCCTATCTCTGCATCGCTTCCAATGGCGTTCCTCCAACGGTGAGCAAGCGCGTCATGCTGGTGGTGAACTGTAAGTTGAGAGATTTATCTAGAATATATCATAAAAGTATCATTTATTTTATTTCCTGACAGTTGCGCCCACAATCTGGACACGATATGATACCATTTATGTGGGTTTGGGTCAGAAAGTGACCCTGGAATGCATCACAGAATCGCAGCCGGCATCAGTGAACTTCTGGCTGAAGGACACGGAGCTGCTGCAAGGTGGCTCCTACGAGTCCGTCGCAGTGGATCACGCCTATCGGATTGTGATGCGCATCACTCTGAGACCGGTGACCAAGCGAGACTTTGGCGAGTACAAATGCATAGCGAAGAATGCGCTGGCGAAACGGAGCGGAGTATCACAGTGCATCGTAAGTCGGTCCGGTCCATATACAACGATCTATATCTTACGCAGTCATCTCTTTCTGTGATCACAGATAAGCCAAGAAGCACGGACAGCATTCGCACCAAACATCCGCGCACGAGAGTCAATTCATTGTCATCGAAGGTCTGTAGTCAGTGTCAAAATTCTAGAACATCTTTTCTTATATGCTGTTTTACAACTTTCAGAATACTTGGCTAATATGGCTCATCGGTTCTGTAGTTTCATTCGGTTGGCTAATACTTTTGTGTTTTGTGAATAAAGTTTCCAGTTTTTGAACAGTCAAACACTTGGCGCTTTGTCTTTTAGCCACTTTTGAGGCGTGACTGCATCATTTATATATATCCTAATTCACAATTTCATATTAATTATTAAATATAATTTCGGTTACATAGAACTAGTACATAGACCGATTCCGGGATAAAGTAATGCAGGGTGTGAGACATTGGACAATCAAAGAATTAAATGAATACCCCGCAGTCCCCTGCGGCACATTCGGTAGAATGATGCGAAAGACATTGATTCCTTGCAAAAATTTCCCATAAGCGAACGAACCATTCAACACGAATGTTTCCAAAAGAATTCCGATTCGAAGTGGAAAAAAAAAGATTGAAAGTGCTTGAAAATTACGTTAAATTTTGCGTTTTAGATGAATATAGATAGAAAATTCCTATTCTATATATAGTAGATGTAATACAATTTTTCAAAGGAATATTGTATTGTTCAATGCAGAAACCAGTGTCACGAATGTGTTGCTAATGGGACCTTGGCATAAAATCAACTCTTTTGATGCTGCTCTTTTTGGGTGCATACGCATAATCGTACGCGTATTGATTAATTTTTGATTTGCTGGCTAAATAAAATTGTTCTAGGTCCTCTATATAGGTTTATCATCTCGTCATCACACATTTAAAATTAACTACAGTTCGCTTTAGTTATGTACAATTGGTTTGGTTCCTTAATCAAGATCAATTTGAATATTTAGCTAAGACTCGAATTGCAAAACTTTACGCTTAACATAAAGAAAATTTAACTATGGGAGAATTCATTAATGGTTAACAAGTGTCTGTCTAAAATGAACGATGGTCGTCTAGTTAGTCCCTTTCCATCCTTTCTTCTGCTATTTTTTTGGGGGTTTTGTGGCAATAAATTACGTGTGATAATTGTTAGAGCGTGTCGAGGTAGGCTTAATAGTTTGTTAGTTTTGGGGTTTTTTTTGGCTTACAAACTAAGAGCATGTTGTGTTTTGTGTGAGGATGTGTTAATGCGCTAGCCTAAGACTGTTTTGTTTAGAAGTAATGCTATGCTCAACTTGAGCTGTTGTGCCCGTTGGCCAGTTTGGGAGGGGGCAACTCCATTTTGGGCACTTCAATGGCCGGCGGCGGTGTGGCGCCCTTTGCCTTGGCCAGTACATTCCTCTGCTCGTAGATCTCGTTTACCAGCTTCTTAACAAACGGATGATTGAACTTTCCCTCCGTCGAGTCGAAGAACTCCTGATGCTTCAGCAGACAATTGTCGCGTTTCTCGTACTCGAACGCCTGCATCACCATGTCCAGCCGATCCAGATCCTTGACGAACCTGCTCTCAGCGCTTTCTGCATGTTCGTACTCCTAAAGATAGATAAGAAAATTGGTATACTTCGAAATTAAGGAATTGTCTGATAGATGTCTCACCTCGAAGAGCTCCATTATGCGCTTGCCGCGGGGTTCGATCAGTTTGCATATATCCTCCATAGCCTTGAACTCCATGGCCCTCTTTTCCTCCTTGGACACACCACAGAATGGGGTTATATCCCCCACTAGACTCTCCGCCAGGTCGTGCACCAGAGCCAGTTCCATGCACCGTATCTGGTTGAGTCCCTCGCTGCCATCTAGCAGAAATGTGAGCATGCTCATCCGATACATGTGACCCGATATCGATTCACAGTCGTTGACATCACGCAGCACCCATCCAGTGCGTTTGGTGTGCTGTTGGATAGAGAGGCAGGCACTGGGTTATTGGAAATGTAATATATGAAATGTCGCTGGAACTGTGGCATCTTTCCATTGATTCCCTTCCGCCACACCAGTGAGCACTCTGCCTAATTAAAAACATTCGATGCCGAGCGACGCTGGTGACATCGTTGCACACATCAAGGTTGATGCCTTGCTGACGCTGAGGCCCCTGCCACTGCCGCAGTCACCGCCACCGCCTTCAGGCCTTCAACTTAAACCTGCCATCGAGGGCGCTTACACGCTTTCTAGACTGTTGCTATTTGATCAATAAAAGTTTTATTTATAGCAACCGTCGCTGCGGTATGCGGCAGGCGGTAGGGCAAACAAGGTCCCAGAGACGTTGCTGCATGCCCATTGCTGAAGCTGATGCCTGCCTCTTGCCATTGAGCTTCCTGTTTAACCTAAAGTCTTATATGACCAGACTATATTGTCAATAGTCCGTGACTTATCGGGCTACGTTGATTATCTCTGACCAACTCCGAGTTGTAGTCACGTAATGAAGTGCAATTGTTTGGCTTATCAACCAAATCGGCCAACGCTAGTCAGAACGAGTTCTGAGGTTGAAACAACATGCATAATGATGCACAAAGTAAATGGATATAGCAGTTCCATATCATATCTCAATGATAGATACTTATAACAACGATTTGAGGGCGTATATTGGGTTTAGTTGATTAATTGTGTTGTTGGATCGAACATGGAATTAATATTTACTTTATCTCTCGAGTATCAATTAATGAAAGTAGTCTTCGATATGAACGAGATAGAAATCAAATGTCAAATGATAGTAGAATGTGAAGCATTTCTTTGTGAGTGTCAATAGGTTGCTGACAGTTCGACTGTGATCCATAATTTTCTGTAATTGTGCAGGGGATTTCTGTGCACTGGTCTAATACCTACTACATTTCCTTTAGCTACAATCGTTCTCCAAGAAATAGTCTTTCAGTTTCTCTCATATTTCCTAAACTGACAAAAGTTCTCATTTCAGCTAATGGCTTCATTTCACACTGCCTTCACAGATAGCATTCATTATTAATTTCCATTTTGTTATGAAAACAGAATAGCGACGATCCCTCTCTCTCTCTCTTTCAACCCTCTATGTAGAGGTGCACACCACAAAATTCTCCCAGATAGCGTCTATATTTTGAAGGCCAAGATCAAAGTCACGCGTTGATTTGCCTTTCTTTTTTTGTATAGCTTCTATGTCGCGCTCTATATACTACGCTATATGTACCTATGTATAAAGAAAAATTTAGAAAATTACCAATCGGAATATTTCGTTGTGGCTTTGTCGAATTCTGTTGTCCTACATACGTCAATGCTGACGATTGAGAATTATTCTCACTGAAATTTTAGATTATTTCTAGATATTTCAGCAAAAACCGAGTAAATACGAATTTAATGGAGGCTCACGTGAGCGCCAAAGTTGTTGGTTGTTTTGGTTTGTTTTTCGAAGCTTCTCGGGTTCAGAAATCATTTCGATTGAGTGGCATTTCCATCGGTGGACGGCGGGGCAGTCTGATCAAACTGCAATCGATTTGGTTTTTGGGGGCCTTTTTTCGATAAGCAAATGAGTCCCGTGTTCTCTTCTTCATTTCGTTGAATGTTTCGAATGAGCTCTGATTAGATAAACGTTAAGCTATCTCTAGCAGAGTTCGTGATAGAGGGTCTGTGGAACGTGTGCAGCTCTCTTGACTTTTGCGCTGTTTGCTTGGGCTTTTGTTGATTTAAAACAGCTGTTCTTTGCCTCTGGTTAGGTCTTTGTTTATAGTTTATCGGTAGACTTTGCCCATCGTCTGCATCTGGTTGTGTAAAATATTACAGAATTACTAAGCTAATTTTAAGCAGAAACGACAATGTGTCTTAAGTATACTCGCACGGAGAGCATTGTTCAAGTATAATACACACGATTTATTGTATACATATGTATGTTTTTTTTTTTTGGCAACCGACTATACAAATTGAAGTGGAGAGGGACACGAGAGCGAGGTTGTCTCACAGATTATACAATATTTTCACAAAAAGAAGGAACAAAAGAATGAAAAGAGCGTCGAAAGAATAGAATGAATTATACAAAAAATAAATAAATATACTTTCGCATTTGATTTTCTTTCGTTTTTGTTTACTTTCTTGTAGGCTATCTGTTCGCAAAAAAAATTTGGGGATTTTCAGTAAATATTTGATAGAATTGATAGAATATGGCTATATCTATACGATCCTAATCCTCAGCAATCTTTATCCCCTCTATAGGACTCAATCTAATGTTTCCTATCTTAATCAAATAGAATACAATGTGTTAATCAAACATTGCCAATCCAATAGGATTTGTTATACGACACTATATACTCAGATTGTATTTCCAGAGCTCTCTACTATAATCTCTAGGCACAATTGTGTTAACCAAAGCCTCATTATATCCCCCTCAAAGTTGTTGCCCACACACACTCTGGACCTAATGAAAACGCAAAATACGAGTATAATCTTCTTCATATAAGGCACGTGTTTCACGGCCACCATTCAAGACTTTAAGCGACGAGACGAGTCCGTCATTTAAAAAACAAACTAATCTGATTGTCACGCGAAGTCGGGGGGCTTCGATCGAGTACAGCGTACAAATTGCTGACTGAAACGGAAATCGGAAACCAAAGCAGCACCCGGGTGCAAGCGCTCCCCGAGCGCAGGGTGACGGCGGGAAAAATCGATGCGAGCATAGACGCGACAGTACACAGTAACAGCACAGCACATGAAACGGTTTCTTTCTTTAGCATATATACCTTTAGATTTCCGATGAGCTCCATGAACTGCAGAATCTCGGCGAGACCAGTGCTGAAGCAGGGCTTCTTGCCCGTGCTGGAGGCAGCCTCCTGGCACGAGGCGCCCAGGCCATTGCTGGGAGTGGTGCCGGACGCTGCCAATCACTGGTGCTGGCGGCTGCTGTGATTTCATCCGGTTTGTGGGCCTGGGGCAGGGGCTCCGCTGCTAGCGAGGACATGGCGAACTTTGTGGTCGTCTGTTGCTGATTCTGTTGCTGGGAGGATTTGGTTCCGTGTCCACTGGGTGGCTGGGTGTGTATGAGGCGCTGGATGGTCCTGTCTGCGTTGCTGCAGCAGCTTTCGGGCGAATTGCGTTGACAAGTTTCCGTTCACGCTGTTGCGCCGACTCCGAATCTGACTCTTCCGTAACAACAACCGTTGGGGTTCGAATGGACGAGCGAATGGCGTTGTGGCTGAAAGTTTTTCGTCGCTCGCCACCGCTGTGCTTGATAGATTTCTTTGGTATTGCTGTATTTGTAGTTGTGGTTGTGGTGTTATTGCTGTAGTTGCTGCTGATGACGTCAGGCGATGCCTGAGCAGCCTGTAGAGATCGCTGCCACCCACGGCCGCAGTTGCCGCTATTGGCGGTCGCTGCTTTGATTATTTGCCTGCAGTGAGAAACATGCTTGCTTCGGAGAAAAAGAGC